CCACAGTTGTGTTTGCCAAATCCATTATGACTGCATGATGTGATGGAGCTTTCACTTCCAGAACATCCAACCTCATCCAGAAGTATTGGGTCACTTCCCTGACCAAAGTGGGCACTGCTGTGGGTGCTCACCACTGTGCCACATCTCATCTGTCTGCACACCACCGCTGCATCATTTGTGTCCCAGTTATCATCACACATTGTTCCCCACTGACCGTCGTGATAGACCTCCACTCTGCCAGAGCAGACACCATCACCATTGACGAGTCTTAAAGCCCTTTGTCACAAAGGGAGATGATTAAAGCACAGCAGTCATTTATTTGGACCTAATTGGACAACACCTTTCTGAAAAAGTGCTCAGTCCTCCACTGTATGCATATTAATTTTGAATCAACTGTTTTTCACTGAAAATGAAACTTACCAGCCAAGGAGTCACCAAGAACAATGAGTGCTGAAGAAAAGAAGAGATTTTTCCTTAAACCAATGATATAATAAATCACAGCTGTTCAGTGAGGCAATAATGACATTTAGTTGCCATAATTGTAGATGTAGAATTATTTGAACTAAGGTTGAATATTTTTTGTTATTTTACAGTTACAATAAATTTCAAACCAATATGAGGAAGACCTATCAGGAAGATCTGTCGGAAGATTCAGAAACTGACCCTGTAAGACTGGGACAAAAAAAATCAAATTAATTATGTAAAGAAATTAAGTTAGAAAAGCAATGATTTGCTAAACCCATGTTAACCACTCATAACTCTTACAGTGGGAGGAAACAAGTACACTTTTGTTTTTGTTATTTAACTTACAGTGTATGTACACTTCAAATGTACACACATATTGGCCCTTACTCAAGTTGCCAATAATGAATCAGCTTCAGTGTGTAAAATAAAGTGCCAGAATAACAGCACCTCACATATCGTTTACATGAAGCACGCTCTAATTCATGCAGATGTTTCAGTAGGGAGCCAAAAAAACAGCAGCATTCAGCATCAGGTGATTTATTGGCTGTGCTCAGTGGCGGAGTTTGTGGTTGAGCAGTAAATGCATTGCTCCCTCTACTGACTTATCTTTATAGAGTTCAAATTATGAAGACTGGAAAGAATAAAAACTGAAATAAACAAAATGCCTTTTTCAAGACTGTAGATTGAGGTAATTGTGTATTGTAAGTATTTTCCGTAAATAACATACTTTACTGTATCATTGCAGTGTGTGGATGCCTCGGCACTAGCTTTGTTTTTATTTTGTAGGTGGAGTCAGTACTATACAACAAAAGCACAGCACAATGTCTTTAAACGGAACATGGAGTAGTTGCAGCATTTGTTTATACCAGTGTACATATAAAATAAGTACTAGATTTAAAAAACAACTGATAGAGAAAAAGCATTAACAACAGTACTTCATTGCTACTGGCAACTTTTGTTAATTTGTTGTTATTGGCAGTTGTAGCTTGAGATGTCTACGTCAAGTTATTTTGGCTGCATGTTTGGGGTTCTTCTTTTGTTGAAATGTCCAGTTTCAGTTTCTTGGCTGATGAGATTAAATTCTCCTCTAATATATTCCAGTACATAATTTATGTTTGCCTACATGACCTGTGATGGCCCAGTACCATTTGCAGAGAAGTAGCTCCTTATAATGATGTTCCCCCCTTCATACTTAACTGTGGATATTCTTGGCATCGAATGTAAAGTTGCAATCCTTAGATGAGAGCCATGATGATGTTTTATCGTATCAGCGCCTGGAGACACCAAAACCAAATTGTAGCTTTCTGGTACTTCTATAGAAGTCAAATGGAAATAGCCATGCATCTTTTTCAACACTTGAGGCTTGTGGTGATTGTCATGGTTTTTACTAATGAGTGTGCACTTCTGTGCAGCATATGGTTCCCACGGGAGGGAATCTGTAGTAATGTGGGTGGACAAAATAATGGAAACCCCAGAACAAATGGTGGTGATGGTGGATGTACGCCGCTTTTAAGCACCATGTTCACGAAAATTCAAGCAAGTGCTATTCGAGTTAATGAAGTTCAAATGACATGCTGTTTTGTCTTTACTGCTTATGTACTTATTTATTGGTTATAATATGATGATGATGATGATTATGATTGTTGTTGTAATACTTCATTAAGCATATTGTCACTGTAGAGACACAAAATGTCATTTTTACTTTGTTGCATAATTTGCAAACTCCATCTGCTTATGAGAAATTAAATCTGATTCTCTCACTATTCTAACTGAACACTGACCCAATTTTATCTCTCCACCAAGTAGCGTAGCACTTCTGTAAATACATAAACAGCACAGTGGAGCCTTTCACAGTTTCACAGTAACGAGCGTGGTTTGGTGTCCTGCAGCTTTGGGTGATGTGATGTTCTGAACCGTTTGCTAAACTGAAAAGAGTGGTTTAGTTTACATGATTCAGATGTGTACATCACCTCCTCACAAATGAAATATGTTACATCAACTTAAGCTAAATGAGTTAATTAAGTACATATATACACAGTAATTATGTGGATGTAACATTTCATTCATGTGGAGCCAAGGTGCACATTTGAACCAAGTTTAGTGACTTTTTAATACAGGTTAATCTAAACCATCACTTCATGGGTTTAACACAAAGTTGTGCCTTTAAATTAAGCATGATTCCTTTGTCAAAATAAGCACAAGTCTAACTGATTCATCGCTAAACTGCCAGTAAACCAGACCAAACTATGCCATTATCAGCCCATTATCAGAAAACCAAACACTGTATAATATATATTTTGCTGTTTAAAAATGTATTAAACTTATTAATTATTAAATTCAATTACAATGCACACTAGTATAGGCTATTTTGTTACTGCTTTTATATAAGCTTAGGGTTGTATAATCCTGTATACATGTACATGAAAGTGACATGCAGAAGTCCATATTCAGCACTGAATTAGTCTCATGGGGCAAAATGTGATCTCGTGAATCCGAGGACAACTTGTACCCCTAACAAAGGTACCCCTCTGAACCCCCCCTCCCCCCCACCCCAAAATCCTATAGACTGTGCTTTTACCATCCAGAGTATAATCGATGACATAAGAGAAACAAGCTAGCTAGCTCCTGATGGGGTGGTGTTTATTTTTACTACATGTAATGTGTTCTCTGCACGCGTGACTCACATCTGCAGGCTTAATTGGAGGTTTCGGCTCCACTTCCACATGCAGATCTGTCCATAAGTAGGAATGCAAGTTTCATCTGACAAGTAAGGAGACCTATAGCTTACAGATAGCAATTCAGATGTGAAACTGGGAACAAAGTATGTATTAAAGTATTAAAGCAGTGTGTAAACTGATTATGAAGTGTCGTTACCTCAGGGGACGACTTGGGAACATCCATACTTGTTTAAGTTGTGAGGTGTTAATTTGAGGTTAAACACTGGTCAGTGTGCTCATGGCAAGGTGACGTGAGTTGTCAGCGTTTGACTGAGGCGTGATAGCGGATGCCAGATGGATGGGAAATTTCATATCTGAAGTTGTGCGCACATTTAACATTCCTCGATCCACGTGTCTCATGTGTACCGGGAGTAAATTATCACCCACAGTGGACAGCACACCGGCTACAATTGTCCGTGTGAACAGACAAGCATGACTGACTAAACAGACTGAAATGGACAAGAAAATAAAAATAAAGATGTTTTGTTGGGCAGTTAAACAGGATACACAAATATAAAAAGAATCGCCCCTTTTAGGGACAAACAGAGGTTATTCAGTTAAACTCAAGATGATGAAAAAGCCTCAAATATGTAAATTACACCTCCCCGATAGCAGAAACTATACGGTATGAGTCGCTAATTTGGCTGACTAGTGGAGTAACTGAATGTGTTGCATGCAACTTTGATTTTGAATTGCTTTATTAACTGTCAAGTTGCACAGAAACCGCTTTGCAAGCAATGTTGCACAAATGTTTCACAGTGTAAGGAGAGCCACAAATTTGGCAAATTTGCACTCAAATGTGACTCAATGCAAGAAAAGAGCCCAAGTATCAGAGTGAAGAAATATTTTAATGAAGCTTCATTATCAGAATCAAATTACATCATAGCGCTTTAATGGAACTTGGCAGTAATAAAAGAAAAAAAAAAATCCAAAAATTTTATGAAAAATATAACACTGGCAGATATACTACTACTACCAATACTACTACTGATAATGATAATCATAATGAGAGATAAAAGATAACACAAACACAACTAACAGCAAATAAATGGAAGCACAAGAGATAAAAAGAGATGATGGGACAGATGAAAGACAGATGGTAATGGGGAGGACAGATGTGTAGGGAAAAAGTCTTTCAGGAGATTTTGAAATAGAAAGCGTGTTAAACTAACTGAAAATTGAACTAAGTAAGAAAAACTTGATTGATTATAGGGGTTAGATGGGGAGACATGATGGAAACCTGTAGATCAGAATCTGAAGATCCGTGAAATGGTCAATAGAGAGGACGAGGAACAGTAAGATGAGAGCTTTGTGGGTGACTCTAAAGAATTGAAGAGCTTGAGAAACAACCTCAGACTATCAGATGTTGGAATGTAAGTGCAAAATGAACTGTAACTGTAAACAAAGTCATATTGTTTGGTGTGAAACGCTCTGTTCTAGAGAACTTAGTAAGAATTGGAGTGGAGTGGAGGTGGAGGTGGAGGTGATAGGAACCAGACGTCCACCTCTAAAAGCTCCCTCACAGAAAGTTATTACAGGAAATGGCTGTGAACACTGTCTGATGACTGAGACACTGTTTTATGATAGTTTTAAAAAGTTTTAGCCTTAAACACGCAGGGTGCTCTGAGGCAAAATAGTCCTCAAAGAAAACTTATTTCAGATTTTTATTTTCCCATCATCAACATGCCATATAAACTCAGAAGACTTGTGTAGGTTCACTGGTGGTTTTGGATAGTAAATAAAATGTCTATATTTGTGTTGTAGTCATGGCGACACCTGGTTCCTATCACCACCACTGTAAAGACATCTGAACCATTTCACACCAAACCACTCTGAATGACTGTTTACATCTCAACCTCTGAATTATGCAGAAATTTAGAAAACAAAAGCGGAATTTCTTTTTAATGCACTGCCTTAGACTTCAAAATGAGAGTTCCTGAAAATATGTTATTATATTGTGTAATTCTTTATAAGCTCTGACATTTTAGTTACAATAACAGAGCAGGTGCATTACAAACATATCATGACATTCTAGTTTGAAAAGAGGAAAAGCAGCGTATTACTCTCTTCTTATTTAATTTTCTCTCTTATAATTTAATCAAAATAAGCAAATTTTATATTTTCAGATTCTGTCAAGATTTTTTTTATCTAAGTGCCAAACTGCATAAATATATTTAAAGAGCTGAAAATCTTTATTTTAAATCTAAACCTTATTTAAATACCCCTCAGTGTTCGATTACAGACAGAAAGTGTTACCTTCAACAAAGACATAAACAAAGCTGCTGTGTGGAGAACTGAAATCACGACTGGACACTCTGGTCTGGTACTGGCAGTAGTAAGACCCCTCATGAATAAAGTCCACTTTTGGTAAACTGAAGGTGACGGAGGTTCCACTCTTGGTCTCTCTAAATGATCCAGAGTTCTGTATCAGAGTGAAGGATCCCCCTGTGAACTGGGTTTCTACAGAGCAGGTGATGTCAACCTCCTCTCCCCATGAAACCTCTTTGGTGGGACTGAGAGAGATGCTTGGTGCGGGTAGAGTTACTGGAAAAGGAATTTAGTTAATCTGAATGAATTCATGTTATCTAAAGAAATTCAGGCATACATGTGAACTGAATACTGATATATAATTTAGTTTTATAAAAAGTGATAAAAAAATTACCCATTAACTACAGCTAAAATATCACTGCAGCTCAAATGACATATGTACCCATCACTGCGTCAGTTGACACATGCCTAGTCACATCCTACAGTGGTGCTGCAGTTTCCTCTACAGCAAGATTTTTTGGTTGAAATACTACAAAAACCCAGTGCTCATGTGTCTTGAGGCTCAGGGATGCACTGCTGTAGCACAGAATACCACATAGCACGACAGATTACATTAAACGCTGGAATGGCCCTGTTATGCACAACATTTTATCTGTATGTATTTATTTTTTTCTTAAAATTTCCTTGTAATTAGTTTTCGATACAGGAATCCAAGTTTTTGCCTTATTGTATTAACTTCTTTACTGCTATGATATTTAAATGTAAATGAAGCATCTGTCAAGACACCACCAGGAAATATCCTAATGACAGGAGTTTACACTTAGTAGAGTTAGGCCTTTGATATGCAGACCCTTAAAAAAATTCTAAGAAGCGAGAATCAAAGTAATAACAGGTAAGGTAAGGGTTACACCAGTCTTTTGAGATTCTGTCTATTGTAGCCCTCTGTTCTACAAACTGGGTGCACATTTTACCCAGTTCCAGTTTCAGCTTCTGCTCAGACAGGAAGCGCAAAGGTAGTAAAGAAGAGGACTTAAATGGGCAGAAACCAGGAGCGGCCCCGGGAATGTTTTTTGGAGGGGTGGTACAGAGATTTTGCAACATATGGGAGGTTGGCTATATATATAATATATAATATATATATATATATATATATGGTTGTTTTGGCAGTTACTCTCGGAGCAGTGACCAGAGAAAAAACTGTTTTTGTGGTGTGACAAAATATAAACACCAGGTTTGTGAGGTGGGGGTGGGGGGCGTAACAGTCACTGACCCTTAATCTAGCTACAATCTGATGTCAGTGCGGTGAAGGTTTGACATTAAGGCTGTTTCCCCACTGAGTTTGTTTGCTGCCTGAACCAGAGTTTGTGTTTTTGTGATACTGTATCCTTTCAATTTGGTTCTGTTCGTTTCACACTGCAGTGGGTAAAGCGTACCACCTTACACACGAGTGTTTGTTAATTGATCAGAAGTTTTGCAGTGATACAAGTGCTCTGTTGCTCTCACGTTTACCAGTGTTTGAGCCACAAAACTCTCACTTTGCATGAAAATATGCGCTTAACGTGTTTCACAGTTAAAGCAGTAATAGCAAAAAAACTTTCCTTGATATTTGTTGATATTTTTTGTCACTTTAAATGTAACCAATCAAGTCACTGATGCAGTATGTTTTGTGATCCATGAGCCAAAATCAAAAAGATTTCTTTTTTTTTTTATTTATTTTATGACTAGGGATTACTAGGGATTCACAGACCAGTTTCAGACTATATCAGAGACTCTTGTTAAGAATAATTCCAGATTTTTGCAAAAGAACTGAATTAGGTTTGTGAGTGTTATGCTAACATCCCCACACCTCTGCTTTTAATGTAAACTGAAATATGTATGTCAAACAGAGGTATTTTACACTTTCATTTTAAATGGCCTGGAACAGATCATTTACGTTAAACTAGGACAGTTTGTAGAAACATGCTGAGATCAGACAACTACAACTGTTATAAAGTGAGCTTGTTATGAACTTACTAACTTACCCACAGTGAGATCTATGGAGCTGCTCCTGGAGGATGTGATGGAGCTGCTTCCCTGGTATGAATAGTCACAGCTGTACTGGCCCTGATGTGAGGAATCCACAGTCAATTCAAATGTTGTCGAAGATTCAGCTGTTTGGGATTTTATTGATTGGCCATTTCTGTACAATTGGAAGTTTGCAGAGATGTAGGTTGGGCTGGGCGAGACACATCTGAACTGAACAGCCTCTCCCAGCAGATACAGCAGAGTGAGATGAGGTCAGGGTGAGTGAGGGACTCGGCAGGTCATCTGTTAAAGAAATATGATCAGTAATGTTGTAAATGCACTTTAACAGTAAACTGCTGTTAAAATCATTACTTACTTGAGCAAACAACTCCAGCATCTTCTTCGTGTCCACAGTTCTCCTTTCCAAATCCACCGTGTGAACACTGAGTTAAGTGGCTCTCAGTTCCACTACATCCAACGTCATCCAGCCATGTTGGTTCACTTCCCTGACCAAAATGGGCACTGCTATGTGCGCTGACCGCTTTGCCACATCCCATCTGCCTGCACACGACCTCAGCATCATTGATGTCCCAGCTATCATCACACACTGTTCCCCACTGGCCGTTGTGCTGGATCTCCACTCTGCCACAACAGCGACTATTTCCATTCACCAACCTGATCTCATCAGGGCCTGATTTATTAAAACATAAATGTCTCTATCAGTCAGTGAAAATTGGTGGTGCCAGTTATTTCAGTAAGTTATCAATGGAAACTATAGCTGTAAATATACTAGAGATGCAAGATATGTAGATTTAGCAGATGATGACATAAAAGCTTACAACACAATATATATCAAAACTATAAGTATTTAATTTGTCCACTCTTTACTTTTGTGCACTTTCTGCCACTTTAACTTTCTATCCTTCTAATCTTAAAACCAGTTACAGCTGTTCCCAACAAAAGCTTCCCAAAGGAGTCGCTGACATCCTGTTCTCCTTCAAATAGATATTAACATTCACGCAAGCAGCCACTCTCCTCACCTCAGCTGCCTCACACAGTTTCTCTGTGCACGATACAGGAGATTTTTCTGAGATCAGATAAAGATGATCAACTTGCATAAGACAGGAGAAAGTTAAAGGAAAGTAAGTTTTAAAAGCACAAATTTCTAAAATTGTTTCCAAAAAATGAAAAGCTCCAGAGAAAAATGAGACTCCTAAAAACCACCTTGAAGACCTCCAAACCTGCCCCATCAGATAAACAGCATTTAAAGCTTTCATCCTTGTGAAAGAGGAAAATATCAAGCTTGAATTTCTGCATAAATTTGACCTGAAACTGCATAAAATTTTCACAGAAGTCAAATTAACTAGTAGATGTAAAGAGAAAAAGATCCAAATTAAACAATCTTGAGTGACAAAAATATTGAACTTTAGGATAGCATATTTGAAGGTGATTAGATCTTATTTAAAGACGGGAGACAAGCGATCCAAACAGGTGGAAGTGTATCATGGCACGAACAAAAGAGATTTCTGAGGACGTCAGAAGAAGAGCTGTTGATGCTCATAAGGCTGGAAAAGGTTACCAAACGATCTTCAGAGTTTGGACTCCAACAATCCACAGTCAGACAGACTGGGTACAAATGGAGGAAATTCAAGACCCTCATCACACTCCCCAGGAGTGGTCCTCCAACAAAGATCACATCAAGAGCAAGGCGGGGAAAAGTCTGCAAGGTCACAAAGGAACCCAGGGTAACTTCTAAGCAACTAAGGGCCTGTCTGACAGTGGCTAATGTTCATGAGTCCACCATCAGGAGACCACTGAACAACAATGGTGTGCAAGGGTTGCAAGGAGAAGCTGCTGCTCTCCAAAAAGAACATTACTGCCCATCTGCAGTTTTCTAAAGATCACATAGACAAGCCAGAAGACTGTTGAAACAATGTTTTGTGGACGGATGAGACCAAAAAAAGATCTTTTTGGTTTAAATAGAGGCGTTATGTTTGGAGAAAGGAAAGCACTGCATTCCAGAATAAAAACCTTATCCCAGCTGTGAAACATGGTGGTGGTAGTATCATGGTTTGGGCCTGTTTTGCTGCATGTGGGCCAGGACGGCTTTCCAACATTGATGAAACAGAGAACTCTTAATAATAGCAACAAATTCTAAAGGAAAATGTCAGGACATCTTTCCATGAGCTTAAACTCAAGAGAACGTGGGTCATGCAGCAAGACAACGACCCTAAGCACACAAATCATTTTACCAAAGAAAAAGAAGAATAAAGTTAATGTTTTGGAATGGCCAAGTCAAAGTCCTGACCTTAATCCTATAGAAATGTTGTGGAAGAACCTGAAGCAGCAGTTGGGAGGAAACCCACCAACATAACAGAGCTGAAGCTGTTTTGTATGGAGAATTGGGCTAAAATTCCACCAAGCTGATGTGCAGGAATAATCAACACCGGAAACGTTTAGTGGCAGTTATGACTGCACAAGGGGGTCACACAGATACTGAAAATTCACATGCTTTTGCCACTCACAGATCTGTAATACTGGATCATTTTCCCCAGTAAATAAATTTTCAAGTCTAATATTTTTGTCTCATTTGTTTAATTTGGTTCTCTTTATCTAGCTGGATCGGGTAAACAGTGTTTATGGAGTTGTAGGTTTTTATTGAAAGTATTGGGCAGTGTTTGCAAAAAATGTATGTATAACAAAAACATTGCTTTTTAATGTGGTGCACAACATATTAAATCATTCTATTTTTCTCTCAGCTTGTTACAGATTTTTTTTTTGGAATATTTGTCCCATCATGTACAAAGATGGCATCCACAAGCTCAGAAGCACTTATGAAAGCATCAACAAACAGGGTATTTATACATCTGCAAGCTCAGTGAGTTCACTGCGTACGTCTATATATTTTAGTTTTGAACAAAAGCTTGTTATCTACATGAACAAATAACATTTACAAATGTCTTAGAACTTCGCCAACTAAGCTATGTTCAGATGTTCATTTTAGTCTCGCTTGATGGATATCTTTGGCCAGTGTCCAGTATTCATCTTTTTGTAGTTTATTGTCAAATTGGAAGGGGAACTGTTCCTTAAGTGTATGAAACTCTGCACTGGCCTCGATCACTGGTAATTGCCTTTGTGGGTTTTTAAGCCAGGAGTTAGATATTTTTTTTCCTAATATATTTTTATTTGGTTTTCAACCATTACGAACAATATCTTTACACTCATATAAACACATGAGGTAGAAAGCTATAAGCATCTTTATAATCACAATGTGCTAAATTCCCTTCGGGATCAATAAAGTATCTATCTATCTATCTATCTATCTAAAAAGAGATTGTATGAGAATACAGTATTTAATTTTTTGTTTGTTTTTTAGGAATGAGAATTTTAATGGCAGTTACAAATAAGCAAGTTAATCGCCTCACTTTCCAGGCCACGCAACACCCTACTTGAAAGCTTTGACTGAGAGTTTATGTGATCAGTCTGTTGCCGTGTGAAATGTCTTGTGCTTTGATATCTTTTTTTTTCAGACTGAGTACGAGTAGGTTTTTTTTACTACTCATTGATGCTGATTCCGATACGATACTGAGTAAACTCATTAGAATTCAGTAGTTGTTAGTGTGAATCAGTGCAATGTACAGTGTCAGCAGGAATCACACCTAAAGTGAATCCGAGGAGTTCACTTGTGATGAGTTTACATCTGAAGTAGAGGTCTGCACGGGACTGTTTTTTGAGTCCCACTCCCGCGAGATTTCATCCCACTCCCGCAGAAAATTGGAATCATTTCTCCCGCTCCCACCCGCAGCCGAAATGATTTGTCCTGCCCCCACCTGCGCAGTCCCGCGCACGTCCAATATCTGACACGGTCTAATCACACACATATTATCCTGTGCTGAAATAACACGGCAGTCATGCTCATCAGGCTCACTGTGAGTAACTTCACCAAACACCATTTATTCCCAGTGAACACAAAGCAGGAATTAAACCACAGAGCAGTTATTTTTGGTATTTTGCTGGGCAGCTGTGGCCGTCAGACTGAAGGCTCCGACGTCTCTCTAACACCTGATTCACACATGCTGTCTCTGCGTGACATGAGTGATGGGCAACACGAGCGCTGCAGTTTGAACACACTGGCCTTTCATACATACAGCGTTTAAGCTGCGGAGCAGCAAGAAATTATTCGGACAGTCCTGTTGACAGATTGATAAATGGTCACTTCAGTCATTCTGCTTAACAAAAATATAATTCGTAAAAGTACACGGTATATATGTTTGTCCTGGACAGTGTTGTGACTTATGATTAGGCAAAGGTTTCAAACCTGTAGACCAACTGGGAAATCTGTCTGCAGCACGGAATGTTTTTGTCATGAATTACATAAAAAAATCACTTTGTGTTTATACGGCCTTTTCTTTAATTTTCATTGATTTTCATGGCTTATTTCAGTGTATTTAGCTGCGTGACATGATGCGTCACATGATCGGTTGCTCAAGAATGACTTTATTCATTTGAACTGTTTTACTGTTATATTGTTTATATATGATTTAGTGATCGTCCTACTTTATTTAGGCTATTCATTATTTTGCGGTATTTCTGTATATGCGTGCTTCCGCCCGCTCCTGTCTGAAGGAATCCGATTTCTGCAACACTGAAAATAAGTCCGACGCTGCACAATGTAGTGTCTGGTCCTCTAGTGTGAAGTCTTTTGTTTGGCTGGTTGAGCTGTAGTTGAATATCCTCTAAAGCTACACATGCACTGTGATTTTAGAAATGTTGTTCCCTGGTGACTCACACTGTATGTTAAACCATCATGTACAGACAAAGCCAATTTATATACTCATACTATATGGAAACGCTTGGTCCAATTGACCTATGTGAAGCCTTGTAGACGCCTCTGTCTACGGACAATTTCAGTAAAGCTGTTTCTTTTGGGGCTGCAACAAACGAAAATCGATTGCTGCAATGAATAATCAATTATTCGATCTAATAAAGAAAATAAAGATGAATACCTTATTTAAAAAATCACTGTTTTAATGAACATTCCTGCTAATTCAAAAGATAAATAAAACAATAATATATTTTTCCTGTCAAAATTTAAAATCAAGGATGTGCGAAGTAGCAGCAATAAAATGTAACAAAACTACATCAGTTTTCCCACAGGTTCTCTGTGCTTCACCAACCATACGGCCATATCTACACATAAACATCACACAAACATGAGTGTTGCTCGCGGCATTCCCTCCATTATGTAATCCAACCTTGCTTTCTAATATTTGTAATAATTTTACTAATATGCAGTATTCTTGAAATAGTGTAATTTTAGACAGTGCCTGTCTTAAACTGCCACTCTGTGTTTGGTACTGAATGCAGTCCAGCAGCGACGTTGAACGTTCCCAAAATGGCGGCGCCGTTGACGTGCCTGGCTGAACCCAACACAGCATCTATGTGTATCCATGAGCAACATCTCCAGCTGTAAACGTGAGTTTCTCCTATGTTTGCCGAATTTAAACGCACCGGTGGCCTCGACGTTAAGACAGTGATGCAGTGTTTAAACCTGTGAACGTTATCTGGAAAGTGAACAGCGTCGCTGTGAATAATAGTTCCAACTCCATTAATGATACAAGATAACAAGCACTTCAAGGTAGATGTTACAGCTCAGCTCCTAACATGAAGTAGGGCGGCTTTTAACATTCACATTAGCTAACTAGCTCACTAGCACAACTATCTTCCCGAGATGAGTCTTCATCCAGTCAGCTGACGTGTTTCCTCTTCAGATGCTGCGACAAGGAGGATGTGCTCCCATGCCAGCTAAGGTCAGCTTTACAAATAGCACAACTGAACTTTTTAGCGCAAAATGCCTTCACACTTGTTGTCGAGGCTGCCACTGCGCTTTGGTTAACTCCAGTAAGCGGCAGTGTCAAAACATTCCTAGTTAGCACAAGAAACCTGCATGATGACGTCACCAACAAATCGACTATTAAACTGGTTGCCAGCTAATTCGGTTGTCGATTTTAGTTGACCAAGTCGATTAATCGTTGAACCCCTGGTTTCTTTCAAAATAACACACTGTGCACCGAGTACTGAGAAGAAATGCTGAGAAACTGAGCTGCAGCAGCTCAGCTAACCACACTGTGCACTGAAATTTACACAGCAGGACAGTGTGGTCTCTCTACAGCAAAGGCAGTTTGAAGAAATCACCGTATTAGATTAATACCTCACTATTCTGTTCAGTCAAACAGAGTAAGGCCAGCATATACAAACTTTAGTAGCAAATGTCGATCTTTTTTCCTGTTTTGCTAGCCTATGTGTGTCCACTGGTATTGGTTGTGTTTGTGTGTATTGCACGTTGTATGCATGGTGGGAATATACCAAGGTGAAATGTTTAAAGTAGGTTTTCTCAACCTTTTCCACCCCAAGGCCCACCTGTTCTCCTATATACAAAGCATATCGGCCTACAGGAAAACTATAATAAGCTTTTTAAATGCAATTTTCTTTTTCTGGTCTTAAGTGTTGACACTGAAAACCTGATAATAAGTGCCTGAAAAAGGCCAGATCAGTTCAATCACAGAAACCAAAATTACAGAAATACCAAAATAACTTTCATTACATTTAGAATTAAGAACATAATTGCAGTGATGTTACAACAACAAGGAAGGTAATAAAAATGTACAAGATGCAGACTGTGATTTGGAGCTGCAGTCCATCACGTTTTCACTAAAATTACTCCACTGGCTTTGCCACAAGAGCAGTTGTTTGCTCTCGGATGTCTCTTTAGTTTTGGGGGTTTTTGTGATTCATTTGAAATAGCCCAGCCACGCTCCACTCACCAGGCTTTTGGATTAGCATCATCACAATAAACAATAATAAACCTTACTTAATATATGCTTCTTTGTCATTGGCTCATCAATTTGAGTTTAATCACTCAGGTTACTGTTGCTCGCCACCAGTGTTCCGAAATGAATGCGGATCTTTTATTATGCTATTATTTTAAGGCTCGTCTGACATTTTTAGCAGCTGCAGCTTGAGCGGCAGGAACGACATGAGAGCAGATGAGAGTCTGTAGAGTCAGACATTAAAACAGGCAAATTATACTGACTATATGGCACCGAAGGTGCTGCTAGAAGAGAAGGAAAGTGAGCTCTTTTAATGAATTCTCTCATTTGATCACAGAACACGCTTCCATCAGTGGTAAACTGAATGGGGTTCGTTTGGAAGAGGACTGAGACCTGTGGTTTTTGCCAATTCAGCTGGTTGTTGCAGACCCCAATACGGGTGGAGTGTTCACACATGTCAAAACGAAGTGAGCTAAAGAAAATAGGTCTGATAGGTCCTCACCAAACAAGGCAGGTGAAAGTATCCTGAGGAACTTCTCTGGTGATCAGCAACACCTTTGTCCAACTATCACAGAGTCAGTTAACACTTCTCTGTAAGCAGACCCTCCTTCACCTCATTTGTTCATTAGCAGTGTATGCTCACTTACGTCACACGCTAACAGCTGGTATCAGATGTTTGTGTCGGTGAATTTTAATATGTACAATTACGAGTAAATGAGCGCAGTATTGGGGCGTCAACTGATACCAGTATCGGCATTGATGCATCCCTAGTGCAGACAAAGTAGACTTTCCTCAACTCGTCCATCCACTCTCACAAACGGAAAGAAATAAGGCTTCTCACGTAGAAGTTGAGGCTGCTAGTATTCATCAGAAGAGCTGTGGGAATGAATAGTGTTATCCTGCTGGCTTCATGGTTTAGAGGTTGGTCTTGTAAGAATGAAGCTCAGTTAAGAATGCAGTTGAAAATAAATCACAGTAGTACCCTGTTGTAGTGAATAACTAGGTCTGTAGGTTCATGACAAGTGAAGACCAGGAAACAAATTCTAAGTTAAAATTATTTTATTGTAAGAAAACAGTAATTCACAAAAGTTGAGCAGTTCATTTCTCGAGAAAAGAAGCTTGCCGAAACAGCTTGGTTTGAACACTAAATATTGCTGAGGCGGGATATTCTGCCCACTTAGGATTGGCTTGATCTAATACTCTTTTTCACTTATTGTCCATTAAAGTTTTATCCCGTCTGTTTTTATTCCCACTATTGGCCACCAGTGCTCATCCATTCTCTTTGTATTACTAAACCCTCATTATTTAAGTCTGCTAATCAGTAATTTTCATGTTTTTGTTAATTGTTAATTTTTTAATCATTTTTCTTTGTTTACTTGTTGTATTTTCATTTTTACTTGCTGTGTTTTCATTGGCTGTTGCAGGAATCTGTTTAGATTGAGTCGTTGACCAGTTTACACTAAATTTTGTTCAGAGTCGAGTTGAAAAAATCAAACGTTTGGTAAACTCCGACTGGTCTGAAATACAATCGGGAGACCAAAAATCTGAGTCTGCGCCCCTCAAACATGACTCAGTTCTCACCCAACTGTCGACTCCGACAGACCCAAAAATCTGCAGACTAGAGCTGCCCAGCTCAGACTCAGCCAGACTGAGAATCAGGGCTAGAATCGGGGTAAAAGTGATGTGTAAGCCCAGCTTTAAATGATCAAAGTAACAATGGAAGGGAAATGCTTTATTTGCTCTATTAAGTTCTTCGTTCTTCTTTCTCTGGCTCTATTTCTGTCATGTTACTGTTGCTGCTCCTGATTTCAGACTTAGATCAGTTTTAAGATCAAGATTACAGTGTTATGACATAAAAATGAGTTTACCTGAGCAAGTCACACCAGCGTCTTCACCATGATTACAGTTGTGTTTGCCAAATCCATTATGACTGCATGCTGTGATGGAGCTTTCACTTCCAGAACAAGCAACATCATCCAGATGTATTGGGCCACTTCCCTGACCAAAGTGGGCACTCTCAGGGGCGCTGACCGCTGTGCCACATCCCATCTCTCTGCACACCACCGCTGCATCATTCATGTCCCAGTTATCATCACACACTGTTCCCCACTGGCCATCGTGATAGATTTCCACTCTACCAGAACAGACGCCGTGTGTATTGACAAGTCTTATATTTGAGCCGTCTGTCACAGTGGGAGAAAAATGCACAGCTTTATGAACAGACATGTTTTTATAGGTTCTAATTTAACATGCAACACATTATCGCAAAAAAAAACAAAAAAGGCTAAACATTGGATTCTGTTTTCCGCTATATTGTAGAGGTGGCACACCGCAACCCATTATGCTCCACATGATGTGGCAGAGCTCTCCAATGAAATGAATAGAATGCAACGCAGCAAATTTATAAGTGAATGCATACTGTTAAAGAACACTGACCAACAGCATCCCTTATATGTTGCTACATGAGAAGTCACATCACATTAAGTAATCAGTCCTCTGCTGTAGGCATATTAATTTCAAATCATCTGTTAATCACTGAAAAGGAAACTTACCAGCCAACATGGTGCCATCAAGAACAATGACTGCTGGAACAAAAAAGAGATTTTTCCTTAAATCAGATCACAATCATAGTTGTTCAGTGAGGCAATAATCTGTCATTTAGTCAGAATTGTAGAGTTATTTCCAAATAAGGTTCAATATTATTTGTTTTTTTACAGCAGGGGTCACCAGTCTTAGCCTGAAAGGGCTGGTGTGGCTACAGGTTTTCATAATAACCAAGCATGAGCTCACATCATATTACTAATCAGGAATGAGACCAACTCATTAAAAAAGTGGAATCAGATATATTTCCTCTTAATTGATATGAAAACCTGCAGCCACACTGACCCCTTGTGGGTAAAATTATTGTGTTCTACAGCATTGACAAGTTTAACACACGTTTGAGGAAGTTCTTAAAAGCTAAAAGTTGCAGAAACCATTTCTGTGTAAGGACTGGGACAAAGAAGTAAATTGTCTTCATTTGGGCTGATTGGATTGAAGATAAAGTGATGAATATTAAGAAAAAAAATTAGCAAAATTTTGTTTAGCGCCGAAGATGAAAGGTTGTTACGTAAAGAAGTTAGAAAAGCAATTATTACTAAACCCATGTTAACAATCAAAAATGTCTCATATAATTTAGTGTCTGTGAATTCTCTGAATTTGCAGTTGTGAGAGCCTGTTGTTACTGAAAGTCATCATTTGTTTTGGTAATTTATTGATTTATGCTCTTAACAGGGGAAACAAGTGTTGATTTATTTAACACACTTCCAGTGCATGTATCCACTCTGAGTGTACGCACACAATGTTTTTAACTTTATCCTTATAAATATGAATATAAGTATTGACACACCACAAAAGAATAACAATGAAAACAAAAGGGTTACATTTTTGAAACACCCAGTGGAAAATTAGCCAATTGGGAATTGTTTTACTCTGTGGTATCTAGGTAGATACAGCTAAGCAGACTCTCTTTATGACTTCAAGAAGCCCTACTGTGTGAGCTTAACCATCAGCATAGTTATGAAGTGACAGAGGATTCAACTAATCATGATTTGATTTTTCATTGGGCAGAACCAGTTTTGTGAGGACAAACATCTCTCATATGTAGGGATCATAAAAAAAGGTTTATGTGAGTCACCATTAGTGTAGCGCTAACAAACTACAAGACTCTTAAAGGGGTGGTAGGAGAAGTTAGCATTATCGTAGATGTGAGTTTTTTCCACAAGTAAGAAGTAATACATAATCAGCTTTTTGCAGAATTGTGGTTTAATTTTGGCCTGCTCCTCTCTGCACTGACTTCAGTTTCACAAGGTTACTCTTAATTTAAAAATCCTCCAATCATCTGATTGTCACTAATTTTCAAGGTGATTCAGGTCGTGTGGTTGCCTAGGCCATGGAAGCTCATTCACTTTCTTTTTAGAAATTAGTTGTAAGTTGGCTGGTGATATTAAATTCTCCTCTACTTTCTCCTGGTACATCGCTTAATTGAGGCTTCCATCGATGATGTGTGATGACCCAGTACTATATCATAACACTCCCACCTTCATGCTTCGCTGTGGATGTTTTTGGGATCATAAACAAAACTTTCCTTTCTCCAAACATGACGTTATGCCAGTTATTGCCAAAGAGTTCTATTTTTGTTTTTTGTCTGAGTAGAGCAAATTGTTCCAAAATAGCAAATTTAAGCAGAGGAGTTTAGTGTGGGTTGTAGGAACAGAGATGATTGCGGCATTCATTGCTTGTGGTAGTGTAACTGTTGTTCCTGCTGCTTTCATTTTGTCCTGCAACTCTTAAAGTGACTGCTGTCTTCTGTCTTACCTTCCTTCGGTAGCTTGATAGAAGTCTTGTGTGGTGCACCTGTCTGGGTGTGATTAGTTTTGGTTCCATGAACTTTCCACTTGTGTATTATCAAACTAACTGTACTGACAGGCATGTGTTAGACCTTTGCTAGGGCTCTGTAGCTTCCATTTAAGTGTTGTGTAAAAATGTTGTCCCTGAGAACTTCAGGAATGTCTTTCAACATGAGTCCTCCTTTTTGCATGAAATTTTCCTAACCAGGTGGACAAGGTGAAACTTGCATGAACATTAGTGTGTAGAACTTGATTTATTTTTATTTTTAACCTTTACAAAAATATAAAGAATAAAATATGTGTATGAATTAAAGTGTTTATAAGTACAAAGTTTAGGTAAGCCCCAATGTGGTAGGCATATTAGCAAGCACTCTGACCCAGTACTGAATCACTTCTGTTCGTCTATATGAGAAAAACATTAGGATAGATATAGAATAACCTTTTGGTCCTGTTTAAACTAGGTAGCTAAATATGTAACTATGTTAGACTTATAAATGGCATTCTTGAGCTGATAAATGTGGCTTGAAATTCCCTCTGGCTGCAGTGTTTATGGATCCTGTTTATATATGGTTTCTTCTTTGCGTTTTAACTTGCATTTGTGGATGCAGTGATGAACTGTGTTCACAGACAGTGGTTTTCAGAAGTGTTTCTGAGTCCATGCAGTGATTTCCACTACAGAATCATGTCTGTTTTTAATGCAGTGCTGCCTGAGGGCCCAAAGATCTTGGCTAACCAATACTGGTTTTGGCCTTGTCCCTTACATACAGAGATTTCTCCAGGTTCTCTGAATCTTTTAATGATATTATGTACTGTAGATGATGAAATCCCCTTGTTTTTTGCTCTTTTACGTTGAGAAGCGTTATTCTTGAATTGTTGCACTAGTTGTAACATTTGTCATGCAGTGTTTCACAGAGTGGTGAACCCCTCCTCATCTTTACTTCTGAAAGACTCCGCCTCTCTGAGATGCTCTTTTTGTACTCAGTCATGTTACTGACCTGTTGCCAGTTAACTTTCAGGGTTTTTTTTTAGCATTACACAACTTTACTAGCCTTTTGTTGCCCCCGTCCCAACTTTTTTGGAACGTGTTGCTGCTATCAAATTCAAAATTGGCATATATTTTTCAAAAAACAATAAAAGTTATCAGTTTCAACGCTCGATATGTTGTCTTTGTGCTATTTTTAATTAAGTATAGGGTTTAAATGATTTGCGTATCATTGCATTCTGTTTTCATTTACATTTTGCACAGCATCCCAACTTTTTTGGAAATGGGGTTGTAGTTCTATATAGAACCTTGAACACTCAAAGAACCTTTTGCATGATTCAAGTGTTTTTTGCATCATGAAACAGTTTTTCAGACTGATGGTGAATGTGTTCTCTGTAGAATTTTATTGATAAGGGTTCTGTATACCACTAAAAGGGTTCTTCTATCGTTACGATGTCAAGCTTGTTACAAAAGAATAACCCATTTTGTAGAATAGAAGAAATAATAATAATAATGGGCTGTTAATGAGCTGATTAGTCAGGTGTGTTGGAACCAGGAAACACTAAAAGTGCAGGACAGTGGGGCCTCCAAGACCAGTTTTTTGAAAGACTTATTTACAGCGTTATGTATGATTGAATAAGCTCACCAGACAAAAGAATTAGTCCCCTGTGACTGAAATATAACTAATAGCGTGTAATACCTCCACAAACACAAATAACAGGGGTGCTCCCCAAATGTCAAGAGGCACGCCGGGTTGCTGGGAGGCTACCACTCTCCAGCTTGGCCCCTTTACCGGCAGTTGAGTCATTGCATATTAAAGCCAGTGGTTGGGCAAGCCAGAGCCATGTAGGGGGGCACAGCCCAACCGCTTTGTTTGTCAGTTGTAAGTAGCAGAACAGTCTGCAGGAAAAACTTAAAGTTGCATTTTGGAGCAAAATTTGTTCTCCTTCAGCTTCTTTTGTCTTTCCTGTTCCCTGCTCACTCCTACTCTTCCATCACTCTTTCTCGGTGAGTGACAGGGGGTCCGGCTTCCTTGATCTCAGCAAAGCTGCCCAGAACTTGTTCACCCCTCTGTCCCAAGCTTATTGTAACACAATAGTAGAAATGCTACTGTCTGAAATGTTTGGAATGTGTTGCAGAAAAAAAAAATCATGAAACATTAAGTAGTGTACTTTTGTACTGTTTTCACTTTAATCAGGTCACACCACAAACTACAATGTAAAAAAAAGTTACCAGGCTGCTTTGAGTGCACTGAACTGAAGTTCAATGAAAAAAAAAGTTAACAAAATATAAGACAGATTTTTATTCTGTTACCGTACTTTTCAAAATTCAGTTTACTCATAATTTACCTAAGACAGCCTTTAAATACTAATTTTTTAAAGTTTAATTTTTTTTTTTTTAAATTTTTTTTTACCAGAACAAAAAACTGAACTTTAACTTTACCCTTCATGAAAATGAGGTGAGGTCTCTCCATCCTGTTTCCTTGAAAGCATGTCCCTACAACTCCTGTAAGCCAATCACAGTTACTGCACTAACAGCCTCTCGGTGCTATATAGAACCCTTTTCTAAAAGATCCTGTATAGAACCACCTACAGCACATTCTCCATCAATCTGAAGAACTCATTCAGCACTCAGTAGCAGTGATGCCAACCAATCAGTATACAGTAGCAATAATGCTAACCAATCAGCACTCAGTATCAGTAATGCCAACCAGTCAGTACGCAGTAGCAGTAATGCCAACCAGTCAGTACACAGTAGCAATAATGCCAACCAGTCAGCACTCAGTATCAGTAATGCCAACCAGTCAGTGCTCAGTAGCAGCAATGCTAACCTATCAGCACTCAGTAGCAGTAATGCTAACGTTCTACTGCTCAAAAAAGTATCTGCTTTAGCTTGGCTGTCTAGTTAATGGTGCTGTGCTGGTAAAAATAGATGAGCAATGTAGTGAAATGAAACATTGCTATGATCACCACAATCCTAGAGGCTCATTCATTTCACAGCAGCACAGTCAGTAAGGTAGAATGGATGCTTTCAAAACTAAACAGTTACATGTTTCTTATTTCTCCCTTGTAACTACTTTCTGTTGAAAAAATGACGCCTTTAACTCCCCTGGTTCTGTGAGTGCCCCCTGAAGGGCTGGGGTCAGAAAAGCATACTCGTGTAATTGATTGTGAAATTACCAGTAATTGGAAAAACGTATGGCAGGATGTTTTCATTTCTCCTGCTTCACTTGGGTTTTGAAAATGTTAAACAAAATGTCTAAATGTAAAACAGGTCTATTTCTGCCTGATGGGCTAAATGCAGTGCAGCAGCTGCATTTATTCGCAAAAAATTTAAATCTGCTGAACTTTTCCGCCGTGCAGTTTGGCACATTTTGCCGCAACCCATCAAGCACTGTGCATGTGGCAGAGCTCTCCAGTGGAATGAATAGAATGCAGCAAGGTATAGTTGAAAGTGGACACATACCCTTAACGAACACTGACCAACTACATGATTCGCTACAAAGAGAGCATGTCTGTAAGTATTGTGATGTACTGTTTTTTCCACATCACCCACCCCTGCTTTATTGCTACATGAGAAGCCTCATTATATTGAGTGATCAGTCCTCCACTGTATGCATATTAATTTCCAATCAGCTGTTTATCACTGAAAAGGAAACTTAAAAGCCACGGTGTCACTAAGAACAATGACTACAGAAAAATGATATTTTTCCTTAAATCAGTGACATAATAAATCATCGCTTTACAGTGAGACAGTAACCTGTCATTTACATGTAACACTTTCTATGAATGTCACGTTTGTAAGCATTTACAAACACAATTATAACATTATAATGCATTGTAAGGCATTATAAACACGGTTATGAATCTTTATAAAACTGAATTACACTTTATAGCCATGTTTATTATACATTATGAATTTTATTATAATGCACTATAAGTAGTGTTAATAATGTGTTATACTGTCAGTGCTAAAGAAGTCAGTCTCAGCTTGGAGATTTTCAGTATTTTATTTCTCACTGCTGGTGCTGTTAGGGCTGCATCTTCAGGGCTTCAGTCCTGAATATTCAGATGCTCCAAACAGGCTGTCCAGCCTAGAATTACTGCTACACTGCGCTTTTCTTACCCAGACTTACTCAGCTGTTTTACTGAAAACAAGCAGGACAAGTTCAAAGAAGTAACAGCAGAAATGAAACTGTTGCTAATATGCTGCTTTAAATGACCAACTAAACACCATAAGAGTGATAATTAAAACCAGAACACACTTTTTTCAGGTTTTTTGCCCAGAAAGTCTGTCCTGCACCAGAAAAACACATCACCAAACATCACAGCTCATTCAGAGGGAAGCTGTGGACGAAGCAAGACCCTAATAAAGCTCAAATAGAGTGGTGTTTTCCCTCTTCTTCTCTTTCCTGCTCCCTCAATATATAAGATGTGTTTAATCAAATGCTTTTTGTCCTAATAGCTTGGTAGTCAGATCATCCTTAACATTCAGCTGCCAGTTTATTAAGTACACCTATCATATCAGTGTAATTTGTAGACTTATACTTACAGACTGTAACATATCTGTGTTATTGTGGGGTGGACCTTTCGCAGTTATATGGTCCTTGAGTTCTGGCTTAGAATGTTTCAATATACCAGTTTTGTGAAGAGCAGCATGTATTTTTACTAAATTCTTATACTGTAAAACTTGCAGACTTCACAAATACGTACATAAATTACATCATTAAGTATCATTAAAATAAATGTAAACAAAATAATTGCAAAAGTGCTGCTTGTAATGGTCAGAAACGGTCTGCAGAATCAGTGCTGTACTTGAATGAAATTGCGCTGAGTTATGCATCCAGATAATATGATTTTAATATGATTTTTTTGTGCTGCCCCAGGTTGCGCAAATAATATCTGGACAACAGCAGACCTTTGGTCAGAAACTGACCAGTGATTAATGGTATAGAGGCTAATAAACTATGCCACAACAGATGGACAGCAGTCTGTAACTCTAAACCTGCAATGTGCACCAATCTGGGAGGTGTTTCTTATATAATGGCCAGTGAGTGTTAGAATAAAGCCTAATACCTAATAAATTGGCAGCTCAGTGTATCGCGTATGCTCTGCTTCACTGTGCAACAACTGAAAGACTCAAAACACACATTTTTTTTTCTAAGAATAAAGTGGAAAGTTACTAACCGGCTATGCCAGCGTCTTAGTTTCCATCATATGTGCACTGCTTGATTAAAAGGGAAATCAAGTCATTAACACTTAAAGGAGAACTTAAAGGAGAACTTAAAGGAGAACTGAGAACATCTGACGCAAAAGTTTAGCTAAGCGTCTTCATTTGTGGGAAGATTGTGTTCTAGACCCAAGACAGTTATTGTGTGCAGGAAATATGTAACATTTTCACTGTTTTAATGCATTTTAAGTCCAAAACTTGTGGCAAACTTAACTAAGTTAAGGTTAAGGTTGAAGTTTTACTGTACAAATACAAAACATACAGTACCAGTTATGCCTGGGCGATATCTAAAAATAATTAGCACAATATTTTCTAGTTAAAAATCATGATTAATTGATAATATTGCCCCTTTCTATTCTATTTTAGTCTATAGGCTTTTTAAAATATTGACTGTTTTAATGAAAATCTTTAATAAATCTTTCATACTGAGTAACCCAACATCTTTTGAGTATTGTCACCTGTCATTATAATTAATGTTACTGTAAACATGCGTGTTCATGAGCTTCTTCTGCTGCAGATTCGTGGCGATTTAGAGCTCCCTGCTGGAGGAACGTCAGACTGCAAGTGATTTACAAAGTGATTTCTACACTGAAAACAAGTGATTTTCTTTTGTTACAGCAGCGTTTTCATAATCCAGTTAACCACCAGGACACTGTGCACAGAAAATACTGCACACCGGCCGAAGGCGAGGATCAGAGGAACTTTCTCTTCAGATTAGAGGTAACTTGGCTGGTCTACGCTAACTTTCAGTCATTTCAGCTCGTTTTTTTACAGCTGCGAGTCACTTTGAAGAGAGCTGAAGTTCCAAAGCGCGTCAGCATTTATTTTATATTCTATTGATGTCAAGTAAATTAAGAGGAATTTGTGTGGTGAAGGGAGGATTTCAGTGCGTAGCAGAGAGAAATAACACAACACTCAACATATACAGCAACCCCCCTCTCTCTCTCTCTCTCTCTCTCTCGCTCTCTCTCTCTCTCTCTCTCTCTCTCTGTGAAACTGACGTGTGAACCCCAGTTTCCCTCCGTTTTTTTCAAGCTGTTTAAGGGTGAATCAGTCCTCTCTAATTCTCAGTCTTTACCAAAATAGTGATTATCGCCTTTTACACATTGTAATTAGGTTACTTGTCCATCATTGACGATATCTGATTACATCACCCTATCGCCCAGGCCTAATATCAGAAGAACAAGATAACATGCTATTAATAATTTATGATTCAATTCAAAATACACTGTAGGCAGACAACCATTCAAACATTTGGAATCACTTGCCATATTAACCATTTTTTATTGGAATAATAACGTCATACAATTTGGATTTAAATATTACCAAAACTATTTAAGATATTTTATTCAACCTTTCAAGATTTCAATGAGCAAGAACTTGTTTTTTGTCAAGTTATCTACCTTAGATTTGATCTCCAGTTTTGAAATATCATTCTGAACACATCTAACAATTAATATTTTTTTTTATTTACAGCTTTATGATGTTCTACTAGTGATCTGAAACTTGTGAAGTTGCACAGGACGAGCAGATTAAAATCATTTTATGCATTTTTCTGCAGTCAAATTAATTTAACTTTAAACTTTTTAGCAGCGAGTCAAAACATTTTAACTGTAGCATGTTTTTTCTGTTTCAGTATAAAACCATATATTGAAGGTACAGCTGTTCCAGTGGCATCTGCCCTCTCAAAACAAGTTCTTTGCTATAAGAATGGATAGAATGCATCTTTATAACTGAAATTACAGACACAGCATTTTGCTCCTGGAAAAAAAGGAAGAAAACTGAATTTACCAAGCATTAAAATGAGATGAGGTCTCAGCATCCTGGGCCTTAGATCCATGTTCAAGTCCTTGTTCAGTTTGATTTGAACTACAGTGTTCACTGCTGCTGTCTTTGAACAGTTTCACTCTGAAATACTGATGACTTTGTTGCCCGAGGCAGCAGAGGCGGAGTTTCTGTTCCTCTTTTACACTTTTTCCTGTGCTGTAAAAGGCGAAGCCCATACAGTTATTACCAGAATTATTAAATAGAACTAAAAAGTGTCTACTTTGACGCTTTGTCTACGTTTACTGGAGTTACACTTTCACTGGATGAAATGAATCTGTATGTATGTTTCAGAGCACTGTTGTTGGCAGTGTTTCCAGACTGATTTTGAGGGCACAGTGAACACCATAGATTACTATGTCAGTTCAATGTGTATCAGAATACATTGCAAGTCTTTTGTTACTGTTTAACAGACTGACAAACACCTACTTTATTATCTCCTTTATTTTTGTAGGTCTGTTTCTTGTACCACCTATTTGACGACTGGCTGCCCTCAAACTTTTATATAATAACACAAGTCTGTGGATGGCAATTTTGCATGTTAGCCAATGGTGCTTGGTCACATTGAGCAACACAAAAAATGACAGAACTTTACGATTTACAAAGAACAGAGGCGATATTTGATACGATACGATACACTTTGTCAGATTTCTCTGAATTTTTTCTTGCATCATAGCAGCTCCATGGGAAATAGGGGGTAGGGGGAGGGAAAGATGACTTTCACAAACAATCAGACAAACACAAACATTACAGTAAACCAAAACAACACACTTTATACCATCACCAGATTCCACTATACACCCTACAACCCAATATCTGTGCGTTACCACCTGAGCACTCATCTAAGCAGTTCACTCATTTGGTTAAGTATCACAGTTGACTGAGGCATGAAGGAGTTTCTAAACCTGTTAAGTCTCGACTTCGGTTCTCTAAAACGTTTATTTGAAGGCAAAATATTATATTCACCATATAGTTCATACAATGGATCAGACAAAATACCACACACTAATCTTTCCTTACTTTCCTACAGGCTGATGAGAATTTACTGCCTGCTGCTCTTTCGTATCAGAATCGGAATCAAGCTTTATTGGCCAGGTATGTTTACACATACAAGGAATGTGGTTTTAGTTACAGGAGCTCACAGTGCACAGAATCAGATTTTACAGTAGTAAATAAAATAAAATAAAACATACATTCCTACCACACACACCTACACACACAGTCATACCTGTAAACCTTACATTGTGCATTGTGGAAAGTGCTGAGTGCAGCAGCAGTTAAAGGATGTATAGTGGCAAAAAAGGGATTAGTGAGGTAACAAGGCTGGAAATAAGGCAGGTAAGTGAAGTAATAAGGATGGTAATAAGGCAGGTAACAAGTCAGGTAAGTGAGGTAATAAGGCAGGTGAGTGAGGTAATAAGGCAGGTAAGTGAGGTAATAAGGCTGGTAATAAGTCATGTAAGTGAGGTGCTGAAAACGCTGGTCTGAGACTGTAGTTACAGAGGATGGAATGTTGAGTGTTACTATATACCATATATACTATAGACCAATATATATATAAGAGGTGCAGTTTGAATATTGTTTGTATGTAATAAGTTAACTGTTCAAGAGAGTGATGGCTTGTGGGAAGAAGCTTCTCTGTAGCCTGGAAGTCCTGGGGCCATATTACAGAAACTTCCTGTTTATCAGAGCGTCACCGCTCCTTGGTTTCAGTTTCCATTTCCCAAATGCTTTAGCTGAGCGCGCTAACGTTATTCCTCCTATTAAACAAGTCAAGTCAAGTCAAAAGGCTTTTATTGTCATTCCATCTATGTACAAGTACACAATGGAGTGAAATTACGTTCCTCAAGGAACAACACGGCGCAACATGGAACGAAAGAGTACAAAGTGCAAACATGCAGACATAGTGTGCAAACAAAAAATTAAACTAGAAACAATACAATAAATATGATAAACAGACAGTAAACAGACAGGACAGTGCAGCGCCGACACAGCACTCATTTCTGGACATGAGGGAGGGTTGTGGAATAAGGTGCAGAGATATTTAACATGCTGTGATCTGTGAGTTACGCAGTCAGATATCATACATAAACACAGCAGTTACTGAGGTAGCACTAGAGTAAACAGTGTAAACACAGTGTTAGCAGCAATGTTCCAGATAATGCAAGTAGAGCATCAAAAGAGGTGTGTGAGTGTAGAGTATGTGTGTGAGGGGGTATTCAGATCAGTCCTTGTGAATTTAAAAACCTGATCGCTTGAGGAACAAACACACGTTCAGCTCCGTCTCCTCATTATTTACCACCATCACTGTTATATTTCATCAGCATTAACACACAAAGGTGATAAGAGGGACGGTGGAGATCGAGTCTGCAGAGTTTGAGAAAAAGCAGAGCTAGAAAAGAAAAACATCTCACAGTGAAAGCAGCGTTTTACAGTAGAAATAAATGGAGCTCATTATGTTGGTTATAGTGAACTTTGCTGCCTGACACAGCATAAAACATTTAAAACAGAAGTTAAGACGCTCTGGGGTTTATCCTAAAGTTAGGACAGTATTTAGTATGTTTGTGTGATGCTGTTTTCTTATCTGGAGTTAATGATAAGATTATGAACTTAAGAACTGTTGTTACGTATTAACTTCTGTCCTAAATTCAGTCCTAACTGAAGTTGTCATGGTGACTAAGCAGATAAAATAAGATTTCAGACTTAAGAAGTTTCTGTAATACAGCCCATGATCTGTATTTGGCCGAAGCGCCGGCCTGAAATAAAAAACAAAACTCTGACTGTCAGTATTCTGGCTGTAGCCTACTACGGAGTCAGGCTTGTCACTGTGAACTTGTTTTCCTGTTTGTCATTGACATTTATTAAGTAAGTTTCGTGTTCTGTCCTGGTCTTCACCATTGTCCCTTCACACTTTTCACACTGTTATGCTTTTGATTACAATAAGGCTGAATCTCATTTCTTATTTTTACCCCTGCCCCTTGTTTTCGAGTGTTACCTTGTCCCTTGAAACTGAGTTACAAGTGGTAGTGGTTGAAATCTTCCCCTGTATATGGGCCAACCTTAAAATAAAGAACAGCATTACGTCATTAAGAGGCTACTAGAGCCGCTCTGTAGGCAAACCTGCCAGTATGTAGCTGTAGTATCCTTTGCGGAAACTGCTGCACAGATGTAGAAAAGACCAGATTGCAGTCCTTAATGCAAACCACAAAACTGCAGTGTTAAAATGGCTCAACTTGTTACTTTCCCTTCAGTTATTTTAGTGCGACACTGCTTGATGGAGAGATAAAGCAGCCAGTGTTAGAGTCTGAATTGTGGCTTAACCGGAATGTGCTTAAGAATTGACAATAAGTAATCGTAATATTTTAAAACGGTATGTTTAATTGTGCATTGTGTATAATTATAATGATAATAATAATGATACAATTTATTAATATATCTAATTTTATTATTGCCCTATTACCAAAAATGTGGGTAAATCTTGGGTCTTAATGCGAAAGTTGGGGTGCTCTTGGTCAAATTGTTTTGCTGATTTTGAAGATAAGTGCACATCCTGTACAGGAACACACTTCTGCACATTTTAATGCACAACAACAATAAAACCCACAATCACAATAAAACATGGCCTGTGCAAACAAAAACGCTCATTTTAAGTGTTGTATTTAATTTTTTTCCCCAATATGTTAAACTCAGCAAATAAATAGAGATTGTGCACATGTTCATTTGTTTCTCTGTAAAGGATGTTAAACTTACTTTCACTTAGAAATTCTTCTAAATAAAAATATTGATCACAATGGAAAAATCAGTGGAAAGGGACCACCTTAGCTGATCATGATAGCTGTGATTATCTTTAGCCCTATTTGAGCTAGGCCTGGGCGATAGGGCGATGTAATCGGATATCTTCGATGATGGACAAGTAACCAAATGGCAATGGGCAGTTAGAGAGAATTAGAGAGGACTAATTTGCCATTAACCAGCTTGAAAAATACATCGTGAAACTGGGGTTCACACTTAAGAAGTGTGTGGGCTCACGCAGCAGTAGTCTTTTTCACAATGTCTGTTAATGCCTTTATTTCTTTCTGCTAATGCTAGCTTTACTGCACAGATTCCCCTGAATTTACTTCATGTGAACAGAATCGAGAATGACTGCTGACGTGCTTTGGAACTTCAGCTCACCTTAAAGTGACTTGCTGCAGTAAAAAACCTAGTTAAATGGCTTCATGTTAGCATAGACAAGTTAACTGTAACCTGGAGACAAAGTTCCTCTGACCCTCTTTACGGCCAGTGTTGTCAGAAAAAGGTAACAAATAATATTTGAAAAAAAAATGTACACAAAGTTTTATTCACTTTTACTCCTAAAACATTGAGTGATAACAAGGCCTTTAAAGCTCTTGTGGAGTAAACTCCCCACCGTGTCTGCTGTGTGTGATTTACAGAGAAAAATCAGCAGTGTTTTCTGTACAGATTAAGTGTCCCGGTTTTTAGTTGTATTATGAAAAACGCTGCTGTAACAATAGAAAACTTTGTTTTTAATGTGGAAAGCATGTTTGCATGGCTTTGGAAATCACTTGCAGTCTGACGTTTCTCCAGCAGGGAGAATCTGCACCCGAAGAAGCTCATGAACGCACGTGTTTGCAGTAACGTTTATAATGATGAGTGAAGTATTTCTCAAAAGATGTTGGGTTTCTCAATGTCATTATTTAGTATGTGAGTTTTTTAAAAGCAATTAATATTTAAAAAAGCATATGATCTTGTAACGAGGCAGAATAACTCAGACGCTCGCGGTTAAAAAAAGAGAGTGAGACTTTAATGTTTGAGTTGTAATCCAAAATCGTGGTCAAAAAACAGGCAAAGGTCAAATCCAGCAAAGGCAAGAAGCACAAAAAGACAAACATAACAAGGCGAACAAAGTCCAAAGGGCAAAGACAAAAAGGGCTAAAGTCAAAAACTGGAAAATCACAGTAGACAGAAGAAAATACCGCTCAGAAGCTCTTGAATAAGAAGCAATACCTCGCATCGAACTAGACTAAAAGCCCGGGCTTCATACTAAACTAATTATATGAGAACAGGTGTAATC